AAAAAAAAAAAAAAAAAAAATGGTCATCTTTCAGAGTCTGAAACACAGGTGGTGTGCAAAGTGTTGCAGACAGCACTTGTTCAAAGCTGCAAGTTGAATTTCTGTATCTTAAGACTGCAAGGTAAACTGGAAAAACTATGTAATTCATAATAATTTAGAGAGGGTGTTTCCTTTTTGATGTATCCAGGCGCTTCGCAGTTCGTCTAAAAAAACTTAGTAGCAGTCTCTTCTGTACTGAGTGACTATAATGCTGTCACAAAGTCAGCTAGAATAGCCCTATCACTAATTTTTGTAAAACCACATTTCCCATCACACACCTCCCACCCCCACCCTGTGCTACTGGGGATTGAACCCCAGGTCTTCACGCTGAGCTACCTTTCCAGTCCTTTTTAAAATTTTGAGACAGGGTCTTACTAAGTTGCTAAATTGCCTAGGCTGGACTTGAACTTTCAGTCTTCCTGCTTCAGCCTCCCAGAGTGCTGGGATTACAGGTGTGCACCACCACTCCTGAAACACACTTTGTTACAACTATCCTAGAAAATTCCAGTATTCTTGTGCACTGATGCTTAACCACAAACTATTTTCAAACCTCAAACTCTCATTTCACTTTGTATTCCTAGCTTGGCCCCTATGGTTTCACCTGTATAGAAATGCAGTGCTGTAGACGATGGCAGAGAAATACGATGTGTACAATCTTTACCTGCACAGCTTTGGCTCCGAAATGTTGTGGAAGCATGAAAGAAGCCTACATAAAATGACAGCATAACTGATTACCACGGTCGTTACCTAAACAGACTATCACTAATATGCAGCACGCCTGAATGTCCTTTTTATCACAACATCTTAGTACTGTGAAAACATTTCAACCTTGACTGCTTTAGTTTGTACATGAAAGTATCATTTATTTTAGAACACAATACGGTAGGTAGATGTATACATATATATATTTCAACTAATATATGGGTGTAATATTTACATATACCATATATACTCCTGGGAACGGACATTGTTTTTGGTGTTTTTTTTTTATTTTAAAGAGACAAAAATAAAAACAATGAAACAAAATTTCAAAACAAGAAAGGAGAGTAACAATGGTTAGTATGTTGCTTATTGTTACCTTCAAAGTAATTGCTCAGATTACAAGATAGTCAGGAAAAACTGATCAAACGATAGATATAAAACGAAGCACAAACGCTTCGTTGTTTTTTTTTTGTTTTTTTTTTTTTTGTTTTTCTGGTTTTTCTCCGGTACCAGGAACTGAAATCATGACCTTGCGCTTGCCAGGCAGGCGCTTTTGCTGCTGAGCTAAATCCCCAGCCCCACAAACGCTTCTTTTGAACTAATAGAAATTAGTAGTAGAGCTATCTTAACTAACACATATATGTATATTTTTCCCTTTCCCTTTGTTCTTTTCTCCTTTCCCCCATCCCAGTTTCTCTTTCCTTTTGAGCAGTTTCTTCCCATTTC